CWYKTGWSMMAAAAAAAAMCCCAGAAAACAACAAGAGGGAAGCTTTACCTCCTCCAGTTCCTCCCAGTTGTAGTTRCTGTTTCCAACTATCATGGCCCTGAGCTCTGTGGGCTGGAAGAGTTCCAGGACCTTCCCACCACACACTTTCAGGAAGCCAGTGGAAAAGGCCGTGTACCACTCTTGGATGGAGAAGTTGAAGATGTAATTTACGTAGGCTTCAACAAATTCTTCCCTAATGCATTGAGAGAAAGCAGGCAAAGGAAAGCACTTTTAATCACATGCCTAAGCAGCAGCACTGCCAAGTTCTCCTGTTTCTGCCTGTGTTTTGCAAACACAAGTCTCCAGCAACCCCCTGCCCTCCTCCCCCTGAGAAACTGCAACGTGGACAAAGTGTTCAGCCCCAAGTCMCACCGTGTGTCTGCTCATTCCCTGCCAGGGGTGGCACGGGAGGTCCTGCAGCTTCTCTACCATCAGCTGAGGAGGTTACAACTGAAAAATATCTTGGTGCAGCAGTTCTCACCACACACACCGAAAAAGCAGCGAGGAAAGGTGAGAAAGCAAAAAGGAAGTAAGAAAGCAGGCTAACAGAAGTGAAAACTTGGACTAAGACATCAGACACGACAGGGGAGTTAATTTCCAGCGCATTTGTTTTATTGTCATTTTCCCCACGGTCACCTGAGCATTAGGGAAACACAAGCTGATTAAGCACTTAACTGTTGCTTAATTCCTGTCCGGCTGTTACGGTCACGAACCCTGCACCAAGAGCGTTTTGTGAACCCCAGAGGAGAAAGGGAAAATGCAGCAGGCATTTCCTACTCYGCATTTTTCACTTCCAGCAATGCTGTGCATTCCCCAGCTCCCAGTGAACTTTCCTCACGTGGGAAGGGCAGCGCCCACAGACACGTACACAGCAARCCACTCAGGCTGTAGGGCAGCAAATTGGGCCCTGGCCTCCAAATGCAGAGGTGCAGGAAGTCATTAAGCACTGTAAGGTAAATTGACAGYCATGTCTAGACTTGGATTTAGAGGTTAGCTTGAGTTCAGAACTCCAGTCAGGATGAAGCAATTGAATTTTGGAATGTTAAGCCGGTGGAACTACACGTTAGCCTTTCTCCTTAAGGATTTTATTCCCTTGTTTCCTCTCCTGACTTAATAAACAGTTTCAGTAGTTAACCCTGGTGCTCTTCCCAAATATTTTCAGCTACAATTTTTTTTTCTGTGTACTGTATGGCATACAGTAAAAAAATTTCTTTTCTTTTGAATGTA